TCTTCTTCTCATTTTTTATTTATTTTTTGTTTTTGGAGGATTAACGAAGCGTAAGGAACCCCTTCCCTGGGAGATGATTAATCGTAGCGTGGTCGCGGAGGCCGAATGATCCCATTCGATAAAAACCCAATCAACAATTGTAGCAGCATCTCGAAGGTGTGCGTAAGCCCGCTACCACGTATCGCGGCTTGCGACGTCGCAGACTTCTCGAAATACTTCCTTTTTTGAACGGGAGACTACTCAAAGGCAATTCTTTAAAACTGCCGTGATTTTTCTTCTTTGTCCGAAGAAAATTCTACAAAAACTTCGAGGAATGATGTCAATTTTCTCTCCTTTTTAACAGTACGTACCCCCGAAGATGTTTTACCCGGAGGGTTTTGAGATTGGATTTAGCGGAATGGTTAGAGGTTTCAGCGGAGGGGAAAATGGGCTTCCGCGGTTAGAGCACCTAGAGGAAAGGGAGGTAGAGGATCTACAGGGGATGGGGATAGGTATATATGGGAATTTTGGGTGGCACGTGGACAGCAATGACGTGTAAATCCAGTTGGTCTGTTTAACAGGCAAATATCAGAAACGGGTGGTGGAGACAGGAAATAAGAAGTGAAACCCTGAGGTGGAAGTTGAAAACTGGAATTATAAAGTAATAACCGGCAATGGAAAGTGAAATCTAGAAGTAGGAAGTGAGAACTGGTAGGCACAGCTGAAAACCGAAGTGAAAAAAGTAAACCAAAAGTGAAAACTCAAATTAGAACCCGGAAGTGGAAAGTGGACAACTGGAGGTGGACAAAGAAAAGCAAAGGTGGAAAGTGAAAACCGGCAACAAGGAGTGAAAACCAGAAATAGGGAGTGTAAATTGATAGTTGAAGGTGATAACCGGCAACATGAAGTGAAAACTGGAAATGGGAAGAAAAACCAGAAGTGGAAGAAGAAAACCGCGGGTGGAAAGTGAAAGCCGGCAACAGGGAGTGAAACCCGAAATAGAGAGTGAAAACCGGAAACAGAGAGTGAAAACCGGAAACAGAGAGTGAACACCGGAAGTGGAAAGTGAAAACTGGAAGTTGAGGGTGAATACCAGAAGTGGAATGTGTAAACCGGAAATAGGATGTGGAAACCCCAGATGGATGAAAACTCAGAGGCGGATTGTGAAATCTTTATCTTCGAATTCTCATGATTGTTTGTATAAAAATAAAAAAACATCATACTATTCAGGTGCACTTTAAGAAATCGATAAACTTGCACTTTCTTAGCAACACTGTAATGCGTTGCCTGGCTTATGCTAATCTTGATCCATTTAAGCCGTGCATTTTTTTTTAAACCGAGGATAGGTAAGTTCAGAGCTCTCTGCTAGTAAGAAAGCCACAATAATGCATTAAATAATATCATCTGACGAGGCTGTGATAGCGTGGGAGCAGTCGTGTACCTTGCAAATTTAGATGTGAATGGGTATAGAGGGACTAAAGCTCATTAATTAAACATTCATAGTTCGCCGATCACCCTCTGACACATAACACTATTTTGATAAGTCATTAGTCAATTGTTCAGCAATTTTTTTACTTGTTAAAAGTCCCTTAATTTTACTCACATCTAGATAACCTGAGGCAGTTTTCCTATTTCATAGAGCAAATCAAAATCCAATGACCGTCAAGTAGATGTACGCACCTTTGAGCCGTAGCCAGAACTTTTGATTATAAAGGCTTCTTGGACTTCACCGATCACAGCACAATTACTTCAGAAATAAGTAACATGACTTTAAAACGCAAAGCACTTGTTCAAATTGAATAAAACGTTGGATTTGCTTCAACGACAATTAACAACGTTTTCTTGGATTTGCATGATTATTTCATAAAATAAACATTTATTCAAATTAGTAGGCTGAGGAAAGACCACGGAAAAACACTAAAATGCCTCAAAAAATTAAAAAGTAAATACAATAAACGCTAGAGTTCTTGCACTAATGTTGCTGTATATGCAGGACCGGATTTACCTACTTGCCGCCCACGAGCCGCCTGTATTTTGCCGCCCCTTTTCATTCGTTTTGAAACATCGATACAAACCATCAAGTGAACGTGCCGGAGGAGGAGGGGTGCATAAGACGCGTTTACTCGTGTTGAAAACATTTTTTGGGAAAGCCCTGTCAACACTACTAGCAAATATTCACCAAACTTTGCGCGAACGGTAAGTTTCGTAAACCTATCTCTGCGTGGACAAGGCCTTCCATTCATAAGAAATGAACGAAAAAATTATGAAAGAACAAACATAATGTGGTTTAATGATTTTAACTTCCGCCGCCGCGCCGAGCAGACCGTACCGTGTTTGACGCAATGCGTAAAGTATTCCTACAGTCTTGTAGGCGCTGTGCGTTTTACGCTGACTGCTGCTGAAGTGCTGAACGCACTGCATTTAACGCAATGCGTGAAGTATTCACGCAGTCTTGTAGGCGCTATGCGTTTCTCGCCGACCGCTGCTGACCTCACAGTGTTTGACGCAGTGCGTGCAGTCGGTGCAGTATTCATGCAGTCTTGTAGGCGCTAATGTGTGTTACATGTAGGCCTGTCCCCGAACCGATCGATCGATCGATCGATTATTTCGATCATCGTTCGAAGACCTGTTTCGATCGAAACTGCTCGATCGACGAACTGCTCGATCGAAGTGCTCGATCGAAATGCCCGATCGAAATGTTATTTTGTAATGTTGAAATGAGATTTACCATGTTTAGCAAATAATTACAGAATTTTCATATTGTTGTAACGAGTTCCTATTCCTCTTATTTTTTTCTTCGTTTCGAATTCGATTGAAATAACATCATCAGCATTAAGTACCGTAGCAGTTCTGTCCGCAAATTATATTATTACCATGTGTTCTGTATACCTACATAAAATTACCGAAAATCTTTCCACCTGCTTAATCTTCCCCCCTCTTCCTCCCACAACAAAACAAATTAATTTAACCACACAAACCATGAAAATACCAGGTCTCGATTCTCGTCTATTTACTTAAGTTACTTTATCAGATCAATTTTTATTCAAAATATATGCGCTTATCGCATTCACTCCATTTTTTACTAACCATTTATTTGTAAAGTATCAGAGGTCCGCTGCGCCACCCTACCTCCCGATCTCAATGCTCCTTTAGCTCCTAGCCCAAATGCCCATTACCAATAACAATCACCATTTCGTTCGAATTTTGCATCCGCTCACAATCAGTATATGTCGGCCCGTACTGCACGCACACACACACGCCCTCACCATCCTACTTCGAAGTTCGAATCGTCCTTATCTCGTCCCCGTTCGTTTTCCTCATATCACTTAGATCGCTAAATCAGAGGCTTTGAATCGCCTTCAAATCACGAGAACACGAAAGAGCATACACGCTTGCAGGTAGCTCAGAAGCCTTGCCTAGTTGTCTTATGTATGCAAGTTACAAAGCATTTTAAAAGCATAGTTTGCTCTCTACACATCGTACGTCGGTGTTTAACCGAAATGATTACTGGTTTAGTCTCCACAAGATTTTATTATTTTTTTTGGGAGGATGGGGGAGTGGGGGACTTTTTTCTTGACATAGGCAACACTAGGAGTTTAATTTTTCTATTTCATTCATCTCGTGTGAGTTTGATGGGATTCAGTTCCCCTTGACCTTTACAAGCGATATGAGTGAGCTTATTCTGTTCATTTGGAATTTGGATTCCTGATAAGATTTGTTAGCCAAGTCAAATGCTTTGAATCGCCTTCAAGTCACGAGAAGACGAGAGAGGATACACATGCATGCAAGTGGCTCATAAACAGTTACGTACGAGGGGGCATTTCAAATCGTTATCGTCTCTTTAAAAATCCAACGTGGGCGCTAAAACAAAATGATTACTGGTTCACAGTTTCCACCAGAGGTGTGACTTTTTTTGGCTATCATTTTTGTATGAAAAATCACTAGCATTCTAATATGTCTATTCTAAATTTTGTCTAATGTCTATTTGACAGATAGGATTCAGTTCCCCCCTGTGACGAGCGATATGAGTGAACTTATTGAATTCATTTGGATTCCCCATCAGATTTGTATGCTCACTCTGTCAGAATCTTTAAAGCGCCTTCAAATCACGAGAAGACAAAAGTGCATTCATGCGTGCAAGTAGTTCCTATGTTTTAATCCGCTAAAAACACCAAAGATGTCGGCTCTTATGAATAGAGCGCCTACCCAAGCACCGAAGCATCTCCCGTCATCTGCAGCTGTTCTCTTCGGACTTCGGCAACGGCAATTAATAACGATTTTTGGATGTTAATTTTCCGTACACTAATAGCCCCTTCCTTATACTGGTTGTCATGAGTCATGAGAATACAAGAGAGTATACATGCGTACAAGTGGCTCATAAACACTTACGCACGAAGCTGCATTTCAAATCGTTATCGTCGCTCTAAAAATTCAGAGTGGGCGCTAAAACTAAATGATTACTGGTTTACAGTTTTCACCAGAAGTGCAACTTTTTTTGGCTTTTATTTTTATATGAAAAATCAATAGAATTCTAAAATGTGTATTCAAAATTTTGTCTAATGCCAATTTGATAGATAGGATTCAGTCCCCCCTTGACGAGCGATATGAGTGAACTGATTGAATTCATATGGATTCCCCATCAGATTTGCATTTGCTCAATGCTCACCCAGTCAGAATCTTTAAATCGCCTTCTAATCACAATAATACAAAAGTGCACGCATGCGTGCAAGTAGCTGCAATGTTCCCATCCGCATTTCAAAGCGTTGTAGAGTAGAGGGGAGTATTAAAAACACCAAATATGTTGAGCTGTGCTCCTCGGACTTCGGCAACGGTAATCAATAACGATTCTTGGTTGTTAATATTCCTAATAGCCCCTTACACCGGTTTGTTTATGTATGTAGCATTGTAACATAGTCCCTACTCCATACGCGGAAGGTATTCCTACGCGGTATAACTGGTACTCTACTCTAGGTTTAGTTAGTTTCCGTTTCCGCCTTTCCGTTTCCGTCTCCTCTGTTTTGTTTCCTTTCGGTAACCTAACCTCACTCCCCATTACGTGTTGCAATATTTTCTTTTCGTTTTTCGACAACATAGAGACTAGTTAGTTTTCTCTGTTCTTATCCAAAACCCATATTAGTATTAAGTCCCTTCCCCGTGATCAAAAGCAATAAATGTCCAGTCGATTCTGTATCATTCCAGAGGTCAAGTGCGTAGCTCCTTTGTTGGCCGAGCGCATGTACTTGCAAGAAGTTTGGTGTTGTGCTGATAAGGAATGACTGATAAGTAAATAAGACCGGATGCGATAGTGGAGGCGAATATAAGAATTGAACACGTTTTATCTGTAAGTTGTGATCTTGTGCCTGTACGCATTAGCTCTTCATTTTCCTGACCATGGACTCTTCAAGTAGGGAGAAAAAGATTGAAATACTCAAATCGCTCATCCAAGAATACCCCGACTTCCCAAAACAAGGTATTTTATTCAGGTGAGTAACAGGTGGGTCAATATATCTTGATTCCTATCTATTTTCTATTCTCAATGAGAATGGAGTGGCAGATTGGCATGCATGATGAACAGATGCATATTGACGGTGAACCTACCAGAATTTCTCGTTTGCAGCGTTTTAAAAGCTCCGCTGTCATTTTATTGTTTTGAAGGAGAACAAATCAACATCATTCCTTGAAGTTTTCACAGAGTTTTCTTCTCAAAGGGAAGAAAAATTACGCAGGTTTTCTTAACTTGATGTTGAGCAGATTTCCATTTAATAAATAAAGAGTGACCGAAAGTCTGCAACAGTCTTGTAGTTTCACTGCAGATATATTGTTTTCATTTATTAACCACAGCAGGTCTGAACAATATTGCCGTAAAATCTAGCATTGCAGGGGAAATACTCAACATACTTACTTCACAATGAAATATAGCCAGGAATGCTCTATTGAAATAAACCTTTTCTCCTTTAAATTTTAGGTGGTATAATGACTGTTCTGTGAAACCTGGTCTTAACCGAACATTCTCATAGTGGAGAATCACTGCGTATTAAACTTACCTTACTGTCATTCAAACTTTAATAGCAGCTTTTTTTCAATACCTACTTATTTTCACTGCTACATATTCCTTGAGCAATATATTGATCTTGCATCTTGAAGGTTCTGCTCAATTGTTTCGCCAAATTTATGGATCGTCTCTGGAAGGAAATATTTTTGAAATGCATGATGAGAGCTGATAATCTCTTTTTCTCTGATTTTTTTATGTTTCCGTAATTTTTGAGTAAAACAATTATTGGACCCTGATAACTTCTACCAAAGAATTCCCTGAACTTTCCTTGCTCAACGTTGTGAGTGCGACCACCTTGTTTACTTCCACTGTACCCATTTAAGTGTAAATTAAAGGATATTTTTATGCATATCTCTGTCATAAAGAGTTGAACAATTTTGAAGAAAAAAAATTTAAAAAAAATTGTCTCACAAACTACTCAGCCGAACATGACAAATAGTCAACTATATTAATGCTTTTTTGACGTTGAACACAACAATGTAGATTCGTGGTGTGATTTTTAAAAACAGGACTATTATCAACTAGAGAGGAGCCTCATTTTTTAATTTGATTTAGCTTCATTTACTGTTTCTCCATTGCAGAGTATATGGTTCTTCTCAACAGCTTACTATTATATTGTGCCCAAGTCTTTTCTTGAGAAAGAAATCTAATTTCTAATGCTTCTTTGCTTTTTGCAGGGATTTATTTTCAGTTTTCAAGAATGTTGAGGCTTTACAAATACTTCAAGAACTGATTTTTGATCACACAAATTCACTTTCTAAATCTGTTGATGTCGTTGCTGCTTTGGAATCCAGAGGATTTCTCATTGGGCCTTTAATTGCAATCCAGCTAAAAGTTCCGTTTGTGCCAATCAGGAAGCCTGGAAAACTGCCTGGGAATGTGCAAAAAGTTGACTTTGAGCTGGAGTATGGCTCTGTAAGTGTTAGAATTCTAGCCGCTGAAATAAAATTGCCTACTCTCTATTTTATTACATTCTACTCAAATATCATGGATTTTTTTGTTAGAATTTCTCAAAATCTAATTCTAGGTATAGTAAATATAGGCTTTGTCTATAAAATTCAGCTGATTGTAAAGGTTTTGTGACTTAATTTTAAGTAAGGTACGCAAGATTTATCTTATTCAATGTTCACTCTAGGTAATGAATGAATTTGAATACTCGTTAAACATAGAAAAAGAGGCTGGTTAAGTCCCCATGTGATTTGCTAAAATTTTATAATGTTATTCCAAAAGTACCTGCAAGTAGAAATCTAGGTATGAAGTTTAGATCACTTAATAATCTAAACTAAACTTTAGATCTACTCAGATCCTTACCTGTAAGCTCTTGCCAAACTTCAAACAACCCCACAGCAAATTGCAAAATTTCCAAACTTACATTTTCAAGTTAAACTGAACCCAAACCAGAGTTCTGGTTTGAACCTTTCTAAAGTCGGTCCAGTTAAAATTTAATTTCTCTTGATTTTAAAAGTCAGTGGTGTTGAAAGAAACATATGTAGCTCTTTAAAACTTTTTAGTAGTCTGGAGCTCAAAAATCTGACATCTTGTATTAGACACTCTTTTACTCCTAATTTGTTCATGGAGTATACTTCTTTTTATAAAAATCTTCAATTCCGAAAATGACTTTTTCAATAATTTTTATTTTTTCTTTTTACTTGATTTCAGGATTCTTTTGAGGTTCAAATAGACAGTATTAAAGAAGGTCAGGGCGTGCTCCTTGTGGATGACTTGCTAGCAACTGGAGGTAAATAACTATAATTTATTCCTATCCCTCCAATATCTTTATTTTCTGAATTTACGAAGTTTTCAGTTTGATTTCCATTCATGTGCTGTAACTTTAATCATGAGACACTATCAGTGATACATGAAAAGCAAACTAGGGAGGTTTAAGGAAGTCCTGACTCTGGGAGGTTACCAAAGTCTCATCGCATTAAAGTCCATCAATGAACAGCATAATAGACCAACCTATATTTGCGCCATCCTTTGACATGCATAAAAATAAGCAAAGATGTCACCTTCCTCATCATAATAACAAATGAGCAGTCTCAAAAATATCCTTCAAAGACGTGAATTCGTGATTTTCAGCTATGATTCCCAAGTTTGCTCATTTTTGCAACTGGTTATATTGGAGCCCCTTTTTTTCTACCCTTTATGTAGGGCAAACTAATTTTTTAGAGTGGATGCAACGAATTTTGATGATGATGTGAACATTAGCTAAAACGATGAAGGATCACACATAGACTTGCACCTGTATAATACAGGTGCAATTTCTCTCTCCCCCCCCCTCCCCCGGTATGTTCCGATTGTGTTCGTGGCGTTTGAGTGGGATCTAAGAGAGCCAGGCCCTCCCAGAAAAATGCTCAAGGTCGTAAATAAAAAGTAGCAGACAAAATGACTTTACAGACGTTTCGTGTAGGAAAACAGTCAAAACAACTTTTCAAGTCAATACCTGTCAAAGCCAACTGACTTATCTAACCACAAGGTCATTTTAGATCATGCCTAAATTTTGGCTAATTGCTTTGTGAAAGTTAATACATGAAAATCCTCTACATATAATTTTGTGTTGGGTCCAAAAAATAGATCTTGTGGAAGATTGTTTAGAAGTTTAGTTTAGAAGAAGAAGTTTAGTTTAGAAGAAGAAGTTTAGCATATTACCTCCTGTTAAGTTGTAATGTTTAAATTATTTCATCTTTTTAGCAATGTGAAATTTGTGAAAAATAATTTATTTTGGGAAAGTTTCTTACTTATTATTTTTCCCTGTGTCAAGCATACAAATAAAATTGTTCTTATTTGTAACTGTTCACCATGTACCAAATATGACGTGTGCCATAGCCTCAGCCAGAGGCTCAATTGTACAAATTATAAAATAAAAATAAATAAATAAAAAGATTGATTGAATGATTCTGTTCCTAATTGTTTTTATACTTGCTTTTCTTTGCATTTACAGTTTTTGTGTCTAATTAAAATTTTATTTTCTCTGATAGGAAGTCTGGAAGCTGCAAGCAAACTTTTAACAAGCAAGGGTGCTAAAGTTGTTGAGAATTTTGTCATCATGGAACTTTGTGATCTGAAAGGCAGGAGTCGTTTAACATCTCCTGTTCACTCTTTGGTCAAGTACTAGCATTTAATGTACTCCTTGACTTAGTTAGAAAATGAATTGTTCGCTTTTAAGCACAAGTATTTGAACCCTTAAATTAGGGTTGTTGGATCATACTGCTGCAACTATACTGTATCAAAATAGTTTGAACTGAAGCTATCTGTCTCTGTATTTTTATATTTTTCAAAGGGAGACAGCAGTTTCTAATTTTGAATGAATCCTTGCTTAAATTACAGATAATTAATTTTAGAAGATACTTTCTTCCTTGGTTTTGTGCTATTTTTCTCCAACATTTTGAAGGAGGTTCTTTTATGCTTATGGACCATTCACATCAAGGAACTCTACTATTTCTGGCGTAACCATAAAATTACATATCTGCATGGGAAATTAATAGCAGATATGTTTTTTCTAAAATGACTCAGAAATAGTCCTCCCTTAAAGAAAAATGTGGTCCATATTATCGGCAATTATTTTATACCGCTTATTGTGGATCTCAAAATCTTAAAATTTGATTATGTAGGGATTTTCAATGCATTTTTATCAATTGGTCCAGTCTTTTGGAGCTGAAAATTTCTGCAAGAAATGGTAACAATATTTTCTCATCTATTTCTTCCTCTGTTTTTGTGAAATAGTAAATTTTTCTCAGCATTACTCAATCACACATACTCATTTCCTCTTGACAATATTTTAAAAATGCCTGAAAATAGAGTCACTTTATTGCCCTTGTACCTTGTACATCATATCAAATGATACCGAAATTATTCAAGTGCAGATTTCTTGGTATCCTGCGTGCAGACTGCTAACGAAGACTCTTAGCATTTTTACATTTATTCTCAAATAGAAAATCCCCATTCCTTCGAGAGTCAGGAAGTGCCCAGTCGTGGTGAGACGCTCTTATCGAGAGTCCTGTTGAAAGACACGAAGCTTTGCTGCAGCATTAAAAACAACTTATGCAATTGCGGCAAATATTCTCAAATGATACTGTGCCTCGATAAGAACGTTTGAATCACGTCTAGGCGCTACCCGATAATCCCTATCGGCCCTACCCCAGGGAGGGCCAATACTTTCTCCTTCCTAAGTACCCTCATTAGGGATACAAATGTGCCTGGTGTCGGGAAAAATTTTTTTCAGACTGATTGGATCATAGGGATCTTTGAATGAACCTACTTCAAGTTTAATGTTTTTTTTTTTTTTTTTTTTCATTTCTATTGAAGATACATTTTTTTTTGCGAAGTTAAACGGTTTCTTCTGATACATATAAATTAATTAAATTTTGATGCAGTTATCAAGTTAATCTCAGAGAATAGATTATTTATTTTTTTTTTTTAAAAAAAAAACAGTATTTTATTGTTCTTTTTTTTCTTTCTTAGTTTACTTCTCTTCTCTTCTTTGCCACTAGATTCAAGAGACATTATTACTAAAGAATTGATGCATAGCATCAAATACTCATCGCTAAATTGAGCTGAGATTTTAGACTATAAGTAACTTTTATCTTGTTATTATTTTTGAAATCTATAAGACAATTTATTTTTGTATGTGCTGTCAAAATATATGTGTGTTAAGTGCCAAAGTAACCATTTTAAATTGCTCAAATTAGAATTTGCCCAGCAAAGATTCTATATTTTTCTGGTGAATTTTTACACATGAAAGCAACAAGCGGCTTTTACAAAAAGATAAATAGATGAAAAAGTCAAAGTAGCTTAAAGGAAAAAATCTATAATCAACCCTGAAATATTGGCAGATAATAAATTTTACTCCTCTTTGTATGATTGATCTTGTACAAAAAGTCCCTCATATCTAATGCATCCAGCTAGACTGTCAAAATGTAAGGAAGAGCAATAAACAAATCATTATTTTCTCTGGAGAGATATTATTGTAAGCAATTCAAATTCATTTTCATGTTATCTTGTTTTGAAAGGTGTAGCATTTCAACCATTTTCATGTAATTATTATTATTGCCATTCCTAATTTTATATTTTTTCTTTTACTATTTTTTAATTCTCATTATGTTTCTCTATGAAGTTATTTTCTAACATTCCATTTTTGCAATAAATGGTTTTTGTTACTCCTCTTATATATTTATTATATCTTTCTTGATCCACCTAACTATTTTGATGGTCAAAGTGCAAAATTATGCATCTCGATGTACAACATTACAGATTTCTTATTATGCTGTACGTTTTCTTTGGAAAATTGGTCATACCAACTTCTTGAAAACTTCCTTGATACTTCTTCTCTGTTGGCGAAAGCTTTTGTAAAAATGTAAAGCTATAATGTTGGCTTGTTTCTCTTCAAGAAAATGAAAGAAATGAAGAAGAAAAAAACACCGCAATGGAGACTTGTGGCTCTGCGCTTTGGCCATGAAGCAATTTAATCACCATGAATGAACGTAGCAATTGGTATGTGAGTACCTCTCTGGCACTGATATTGACACTCTTCAGAAAATATAATTTTTCGTCGCATCTTCAATACATTTCTCATCAGTTCAAAATAAGTAAAGCAAGCTGGGTTATCTCATGGAGCCTCAGAAACCTGCGAGGAGTGTTTCAAATATATTAGTACCAGTGTCATTACTTTGAAATGAAATCATAGAAGAACAAGCATAGTTACACGAAAAATCAATCGAACAAGATAATATCTCATTAAACTTTCTCTAACTCTGAACCCTTTTCCTGATGTACAAACGATAAGGCCCTATACTTACCTTAAAAAGTGAAAGTAACATAAATTACAAAATGTTTGAGACAACTTGAACAAGTGAGAGGAATTTTCTCTCCTCCTTTTAAATTTGTCACAAAGTTAAAGTGTTTTTTCTTTTTGTCAGGTCTTGTCTTGGTTACCCTTACTCAAGAGTTTTCAGTTTCGCATTTTTGCGGGTAATTATCCCTACAAAGGTCCTATATCTTACCTTAGAAAGTGAAAGTAACATTAACTACACAATTTTTGTGACAACTTGAACAAGTAAGAAGTATTTTCTCTCCTCTCTTCAAATTTGTCACACAGTTAAAGAGGCATTTTTTTTTTTTTTTTGCCAGGTCTTGGTTGCCCTCACTCAAGAATTTTCGGTTTCGCATTTTCGCGGGCAAATATTAATCGAATTTATCAGCGAGATAAGATTGCTGATTGATTCTCTCTTAATGAACTAACCAATCTCATTTCAAATTATCCTCCAATCAGATGAAAGCCAAAAGTTACGACCAATGGGAGAGCTAGCGACGTAAGGCACTCTGGCGGCGAGTTAAGAAGCACTCTCCTCCCCCATCTTATCTTGCATTTCGTCGGCCTCTTTACCTTCGTAGTTGCATAGGTTCTGAAAACTCGAAAAAATGGCATATTTGTTATCACGTGTGGCTGCTACCGTAGCCAAAGAAATCTCAACATCTTCACACCAAGTAAGTCTCGATGTGATCATATTTTTTCCTCTGATTCACCCCGTAAGTCCAAGCCCCAAATGCGGCACGTAGGAACCTCGCCTGATAACCTCCATTTCCGTCTCTTCTTTAGGCCCTATCTCCCAGCTCACAAATTCACTGAGCTTTCCATTTTTCTTCCTTTACACGAGATTTCCGATTTTATACACCTTTTTCCATTTCTTGCCATTGACTCCTTCCGTCATTATTGTGGATAAATATTTGGGTCAACCTTGAGTGACCTTTCAGGCTTCGCTTAGCACCTCTAGTTGTTTGGTTGTTGCCTTCAATCAAACCTTCCTACTCATCCGATGATACTAGCTCCCACTTTTTCTGCTATCTGCTCCTAACCCGCGCCAATTATTTATACAGTACTAACTGTGATATTTATGTATGTCTCATCCTCTCTCCGCCATCAACGTATGCTCTGCGTCGACAGCACTATCATAACCTACCACTTCATGCCTGTCATTCGTAGCAGCGGATGAGAGTATCACCCCATTCCAATTTTCTTTATCTTGTTAAGCCTTGTATAACCTCATACAGCTAACTCCAACTGCATCTGTCATATTGATGTCAAAGGGCCTGTGGTTGAATCTGCAGTTGAATGTTAGGAAATATTCCATTTACTTAAATGCTGTATTGGTTCTTACTGTGGGATCAAAACTTCGCAGCTTTCTTCATTGATAGTACATCTCGTGTCATTAAAATCCCCACCTCTCTCATTCAATTCGAGATTGAATGCTCATTGAAACGCCCGTACAATTGCGCTATCCTCCAAGATGTAAGGAAGATCTTGAATGCCTCTATTCACCCCCCAAGTCAATATCCTTCAGAAGCCCTTGATATGCTGATGATCCACCGTTCACTTTCTCACCCCTCACTCTTCACCTAGTTCAAAATTTTTCTGAAAACTAATCTACAACTCATTTTGTATGTAACATGGATGGTTAAGGGTTGTTGAAGAGGCGTTGTAGGTGAACCCTGTCCTTGGTGAAGCTTCTGAACTAGTACTAAATTTATAGGAAGGAACAAAGAATTTCCACTATTATTTTAGAGCCTTTCACCTGTTTACTTAGTCTAGCACCAGATAAACTTTGAAGTCGTGTAGAAATTTGATTTTGGAGCCAGAAAACTAATTTTTATGCACACAAAGTCCATACCAACTAAATTTACTCACTTTTAGACTGTGATAGAAGGTCTTTCATCTTGCTCCTTCCATTTACTTCACATGTAAAAGTGACATCGGAAGATCTTCTGTAGGAGTCTAAAAGTGCGTTATCTTATTTGGCGCGGACTCAAATTGTTGCTGCCCGAATCATATCTGAGCAAGTATTCCAATTTTATACTAAAGTGCCCATTGAGCATTAAATATAGGGGATGTGACAAAAATTGCATTCCATCAATACCTCACTAAGTATACTAATACTATTAATACACTATAGTCAAGTTCTTAATATTTTAATGATTTGAGGACACTCTAAAATTTTTAAGTTATTTGATGATTTTCTAAAAAAAAAAAAAAATTAACTCTTGCGAATTTTCTTTCTTTAGTTAACCAACCTATCATGGCCAGTCTCCCAACTTGCTCAACGCAAATTACATGTATCATGCTCTCAACGAGCCGCCGAAATTTCCTCCATCCTCGAAGAGAGGATCTTGGGAGCTGCACCCAAGGCCAACCTTGAAGAAACTGGCCGTGTATTGAGCATTGGTGATGGTATTGCCCGTGTCTACGGTCTGAAGAACATTCAAGCCGACGAGATGGTGGAATTCTCCTCTGGTCTTAAGGGTATGGCCCTGAACTTGGAACCTGACAACGTTGGTGTTGTCGTATTTGGTAATGACAAGCTTATCAAGGAAGGAGACATCGTCAAGCGAACTGGAGCTATCGTAGATGTTCCTGTTGGTGACGACATCTTGGGACGTGTTGTTGATGCCTTGGGTAACCCCATTGATGGCAAAGGTGCACTTTCAGGCAAGCAAAGGTATGTCATCTTCTCATTCTTTTACGTCCTTGAAGGTGTCCTCAACACTAGCGAACCTGAATTTATTTACTTATTTTTGTAGGTGGGCTGGATAGTACACAAGAAAAATAATCCCACAAGTTATGTTATGGTGCTATCTCTCTTTTACACCTTGAGCCCACGAGCGATATCCAGTATGGAAGTTTCTGATTTTAAGTTTCAATGAATCTTCACAAATTTGATGCCTTACTATTCAGCAATAAGTAGTACTGCTATGCGTCATGGACCTGTCCCTTGCATTAATAGGTAGATAGTGTTAATTTTTCAAATTATCAATTACAGTTATTATGTCCAAGACACAAACTTTGTATAGACGAAATGTAGTGGCAAATATCATCCCTTGATCATTCAGAATCCCCTCATGACTGTCCATCACCCTGTTTTGCCAATTGATTAGGGTTTTTCTGAATGATTTACCTTGCCCTTTAAGTTTTCTCCTCAATAAAAAAAATAATATGCAAGCCTGCATTACCTTGTTTAAGTCAGCCATTTTCAGCATAGTATAAATATGTCTTTTTCTCTATTTGCCTCTCAGGTTCCGAGTTGGTATCAAGGCCCCTGGTATCATCCCCCGAGTATCCGTCAGAGAACCTATGCAAACTGGTATCAAGGCTGTAGACTCACTGGTACCAATTGGTCGTGGTCAGCGTGAGTTGATCATTGGTGACAGACAGACTGGGTAAGAATGGTTTCACTTCTTTAATATTGCGGAGTGAATGCTTCAATATGGTCAGAAACATTTGACTGAAACATGACCATTGAAAAAGGAGCATTTCTGTGTTCACTAGCTGTTTAATAGCACATCCGCGATGGCCAGCCAAAGGGTTTTGCCGCCTGGACCCCATCACTTGCTTCAAGCGAGGTTGTGGCTTGCAAGTCCAAGAAAATTCTAGCAAGTTCCTCTAAAACCACAGAGGAAGGGGGTTGGAGTCTCCTTCATCAGCAGCTATGTGGCTGAGTGCAGTGTCTATGCAGGGTGGCAAGCATCAAGGAAAACTGAAAATCGTAATTTAAAGTAAAATCTAGATTGTGCAGGGAAAAGGCTTCTGGCCCGTAATTGGTGTTTTTTTTTTTCAACTTTCACTTCTTACCAACTTCTCTCTGACACCAGCAGCCCTAGTTGCAAGGGTGCTAAAACTTCTCAACCACAGGACTGGTGAGTAGCAATGAGTTGCTCCATAATTGGAAAGACCTCGGAAAAGCTCTGAAATAATTTACGTCTATTGCGGTTAAGTCCTTATTATGTCTTATTGTTTAAATGAAACCGTACAGCGATTCTATAGTGTAAAATTTTGCTCCAAGTAATCTTAACTTTTCAAGAAATTCAATTGGGTATTTGGATGATGAACTCACTTCTTTCTGATGATGCGAAGATGCAACATGATGCCTAATGCCTCAGATTGAACCAAAAATCTTTTTCCACAGAAAATCATCATCATTCTTCTAAATTTTGTTAATTTGTAACAACAAGGTTGATAAGGTAAAATTTTTCTTTTCAGTAAAACTGCCCTAGCCATTGACACCATCATCAACCAAAAGAGATTCAATGATGGAACAGATGAAAAGAAGAAACTGTACTGTATTTACGTTGCTGTTGGACAAAAGAGGTCAACTGTCGCCCAGATTGTGAAGCGATTGACTGACTCAGGTAATATTGTTGTGTTGATTTCGTTTTTTTTAAAAGACTCCTCTCCATAGAAAGAGAGAGAAAAAAAAGAGAAGTGAGAAAAGTAATGTTAAGTGACATTGCCATGTTCACAGACTGGGGAGCACTGAGCTAAGCAAAAATTGTCAAGCGGTAATTTAGTTAAAACGCAATGGGAAAATTGTAATGATTTTATTTACCTATAAAAAGCTTAAGAGCATGTTGTCATAGTAACGTTATAGCAAGACCGATTCTGTATTAAACATGAGCGAAGAAATATAAAAGGCAAGCAAAATTCATCACTAAAAAGCTTGGTTCTAGATCTATGATTGTGAATTCTTGCATTGCTCACTGAAATGGTTTCTCGCGACAGGAGGCCAATCTCTCTGTGTGATCAATTCAGTGATAAAAATTGTTAAAAACTTATTATTTCATGTCAATCAGTCTCTTAAGGGCCTATTAGAAACCTCAGCTCATTATGTATCCATTTAAATTGTAACCTTTGCTGGAGAATGTTTTATTTCTCGTAACTCAGTATTCAGGAGGTAAAGTATTCTTCACATCTTGTTTACCCTTCATAGATTTAGAAGGAAGGTTTTTTTTTAATTTGCTGCCTGTCAAAAAACCATTGAAATGACTTGTGTCACCAGCGGGTCGATTGTTAAATTGTTATCAAATGAGTTTATCCCTATCCATCTCCCTATCTTCACAATGCTGTATATCAATTAAGGTCATTCGACAAGGATTCAACAATTAACCCGCAGACAAAGTAAGAATTCAAGGGTCCTGATATGTGTTTTATGCTCAACATTTCTTGCAGGACAAGATTCACTTATCGAAAATTTCTGACATTTACTCCTTACAAAAATATTAACATTTTTTTGTAGCACTGGTCAAAAATCAAAGTTTACATGAATCATATCATGCACTATAACAATTTTGGCAGACTTCTTAAAATCCCTGTCTTATTCCGTTCTAAATGTAAACAATGTTGAACAGCCAAAGTGAAGTGCTGAGGTAAGGTTGCTATATTTTCATACTGCTGAGACTGGTACAGCAACATTTAGTGCGCAATTTAAATTAGGCCGGTTATGGTTTTCATTTGATGAGGGAACAGTCAAAATGTATGCATGAAAAAATTTTAATGTCTTGGTTAAGAGATACTAGATATAATTTAACTTGCACAAATTGCATTTCATGTGAAATTTTAAAGAGAAAAGTCATATCATAATACCTAAATTTGCATCTTCTCCAGTTGTCCACAATACAGCTTACCTGCCTCTTCTCAGTTTGCTGAGTTGCAGTATGGAGTTATTATTTCGTATTTTCCTTATGTGTCAATTATAAAATCATTTGTTCACGTATCATGGTGTGGTTGTTTCGACAGGTGCCATGGACTACACCATCATTGTCTCTGCCACCGCCTCTGATGCTGCTCCTCTGCAGTACCTCGCCCCTTACTCAGGTTGCGCCATGGGAGAATACTTCCGTGACAATGGCAAACACGCTTTGATCATCTTTGATGATTTGTCAAAACAAGCTGTAGCCTACCGTCAAGTATGTTAATGTTTTTACTGTATTTACATGTTTGTTAGGATGCACTTTTCAATGACAATTTCATTCAGCAATCTTAAAAAAATGGTGGAAAATCAGTCAGAAAGTATGGTCACGGTAGCTAAGAACTCGAAATTTTTAGAGAATGAGCTTGATTCAAAACTCTGCGTTTTTCATCCATCCTTAGGCTCTAATCAAGCATCTAATCAACGATTTATGCTTGATTCAAGGCACCTTCTGATAAACTATTCACATAGCACTAAGAAATTTAATGCCTGATAAATTTTGATATTCTATGTTCCTTGTGGCCCTCTGAGTAAAATGAGCTATTAAAATTGGACTCTCTTTGTGCCATTGTCAAGGAAAGCGGAAGTAAAAAGTGAATTTTTTGGGTCTTTACACACGTTTTTCAATGGGTCAATATTATGAGGATCAGCCAAAATGTGCAATAGCTTCAAAATGGAAGTGCAATAATCTTAGGCAAATTTCACGCTAAAGGTGTTTAAATTCCTTTTTCCAGCTTTAGCACCTACAATTCTGATTTAGTATCAAGTTGAAATGATGAAGAATCAAACCATTCGATCCAGACAGAAAGTGAATTTTTAGGTTTTCTCACCAGCATTCCCTAATGGTGGTTTTACAATAACAGGAATATGTTGCTAAAATCTGCAATACCTTTAAAAACAAAGCTCACCAATTTTAAGCAAATTAAATTCTTAAGTTATTCAACTTCCAGCTTTGGCACACGCAATTTTTACTCAGCATCAAGTTGTGATGAATATCAAACTAGCTATTTGAAACTTGGCGATACTTGAGGTAGATTACCCACTATTAGAAGACCTCTTCTCATTCCCTCCTCTCATATCCAACCCTTACTAGGAAATACGATAGAACAGTACACAGAGAAATACACCAAGAAACACATAAGTAATTACTGATTTTAGGGGAATAATACTCAAGTCTATCATTTCAGTTGAATCCAAAGTATCACTTTATTCAAAGGTGAAATGTTATTTTGAATTACGGTCTGCAACTGCATTATATTTGGACCACATTTTGCAATATGAAACTGCTATTTTTAGCTCATTGTAGATACAATGTACATGACATTGATATAACTACGCAGATAAGTGCTTCTATCTGTGAGCTAGAAATTGTTACTTTAATTGTGTAACACAGTTCAGTTGATGTTTCCAATAATCTGTTTGGTAAAAAGGTGTCCTAAGAAATATTTCATTATTTTTAGATGTCTCTGTTGCTGCGTCGTCCCCCTGGTCGTGAGGCCTACCCTGGTGATGTCTTCTACCTTCACTCACGTCTGCTTGAGCGTGCTGCCAAAATGAACGAGTCCCTCGGAGGTGGTTCCCTCACTGCGTTGCCAGTCATTGAGACCCAGGCTGGTGATGTGTCCGCTTACATTCCAACCAACGTTATCTCCATCACTGACGGTCAGATCTTCTTGGAAACTGAATTGTTCTACAAAGGTATCCGACCAGCCATCAACGTCGGTTTGTCTGTATCTCGAGTAGGATCTGCTGCCCAAACCAAGGCCATGAAACAGGTACAGTAAATCGTTTGATACCAGAATAAGTGCTCAGTAGGTTGTGATTTGTCGTGACGGACGAATTTTTGTTGATTTACTCCAATTCATCCGCAAACTGCTGCACAGCCAAAAGATGATTTTTCTTGTTGCTTTACTGAAGGAATATTAGCGAGCTGAAACTAGCTTGTCAAAGTATCCGCTGTTCAAACCTTTTTGGTCAAAGGTGGAGGAAAGCCCACCTTTGGGGATGAACCTGAAAAAATTATCCCCCTCACGTATGAATTCCGACTGCTGAAGAATTCTGATTGGAACAAGTGCTAGGTTTCTGGCAGCCTAGAAACCTAGAAAGTCAGTGAATTGATAGGAAAAGTCAGGAACTATTGTAACCAGCATAAGTGAAAGGAAAAAATTCAATTGGAAATGTTGTTCAAAGGTCACCAAATTCAAAAATTTTGGAAGCAGGGAGAGTTAAAAAAGTCAGGTAATTGGAAAATTAAGAAATTATTGAAACCCTGCAAAAGGTAAACAATCGAATTAAGTTACCCTGTAATTTTAAAAAATGAAAGGAATTTTGCCTCTGAAAGAACTTCTGAATTGTAAGTCATGCTGCAACACCTACTGTTATGTGATGAGGCAAATCATTCCGATAATTGTCTGTAGATTCCTGCTATGCCCAAATTCTAAGCACTTCAAGCCTTTATGGGTGAAATTAAAAGCTAAACAATTTTTTTTTTTTTTACATCCTCAAATTTGCGAACAGTATCAAGCAAATGACTCACAATCAGAATGAATTTTACCACTGCTCATTATTATTAAAAAGATGGAGGCCTCTAAATAAAAATTTCTCGCTTATGATCAATTGAAGCACCATTTATTACTCATCATTCTCTCCTAAAAGTTCTCCGACATAGATGTTTGAAGTTTCCAATGCATCAATTTTTCTTTTTTTTCAAGTCATTTCACCGTGGCAAGAAATATTGATCTCAAACCTCTATCTTTCTCTGTTTTCAAAAGAATGCTAGTGAACAGGTAGTCTACATCACTCTGTATACTACATATTGCCTTCTGTTCTCAAACTTGATGATTCTAAAGTTACAGTTAGTGATGGTAAACACATGTGATTCTAATTTTATTTAAATTCAGACTTTCCTTCTTTTTTTAGCGATTTTTTATGAACATTTTGTGGTAAACATGTTTAATGTTAATTTATTTCCCCTCGACACAGGTGGCCGGTTCCATGAAATTAGAGTTGGCTCAATACCGTGAAGTCGCTGCCTTTGCCCAGTTCGGTTCTGACTTGGATGCTGCCACCCAGCAACTGTTGAACCGAGGTGTCCGATTGACTGAACTTTTGAAACAAGGCCAATATGGTAAATATTTTATTGTTCTTGTGTCTTGAAAACAAGTATTTTTCGCATTTTTACAAATGCAGATTTTAAAAATATGAAAATTTGATCATTATCATTGCTTTATAATGTTGAGATTTTGCACTGGTCCCTATTCTCAAAATATTTCGTTGTCCCTATGATGTTACTAAAAAATTTTTATCAAGATGAGAAGGATCCAATGGCGAAAATTTCTCTTTTGTAAGGAGGAAAATAAAAAGGAAAGCCTGTCGATTTGATCATTTTTGATCCTGTAGAAATTTATTCAATGAGTAGGAGGGCTTTTCTCTAAGATATTCGTTGATTTTTTGAGAGTGAGAGATCCACGAATTTTCCTAGTCCAGCACCTTATCAAAATTGGAAAGAGAGGCTTGATAAAGCATTTTAGTGGACCCCTCAAATACCATTATCTCTTTTTCTCAGTGATAGGTAGTTGCGCAACCAGGAGTTGAAACAGCTCAATGTCAATCTCAATTTTGAATATTGTATAGGGAGGAACGTCTATTCATTTGATGAAAAATAATTCTTCTATTAATTTAATTATAATTTTTCTATTTTTAGTACCCATGGCCATTGAAGATCAAGTAGCTGTTATCTACTGTGGTGTACGAGGATACTTGGACAAATTAGACCCTGCCAAGATCACCCAGTTCGAAAAGGAATTCTTGCAACACATTAGGTGAGTTACCGTCTCTCAGAATAACAGATTACTCCTCGCCTCCATTATCGACGGACTTTTCTAGTGGTCAGCCTCAGTGGTTAGTGGTCAAGTTAGTATTGAGGTCCCAGGTTTGTTTCTTTGTGGTAACAGGTTTTTAAGGACACGTAAAAAATCCGGCATCTCGGCTGTACTGCTTTTATACCCTGTCTTGTCTCAAAGACAGGGTATGGCCATCCAGTAGTCGTTCGTCCACCCGTCCGGCAACGGCCAAAAATAACATTGCCACAACGTTGCTGCAACGTTGCCGCAACATTATTTTTGGCAGTTACATTGTGACAACATTTCCGCATCTACTTCAGGCAACCACTTGCCGGGCGGGCATGCTCTTCAGCAGTTTCGTGATCAAATTTTTGATCTTTTATAGAGCACATGACCACAAGCGTAACCTATTAGAAGGAGACTGTAATAACAGAGCCCAACTAGGCATGAAAATGGCTATGGTGCGAGAAATTCTGCGCTCAGTATCATCTGCCGTAGCTACCGATACCACCTACTGTTGGCTTAATGGACGACTGCTAAATGTTAAGAATCTTTAGTCAATCTTCGCAGTTAAGGACAGTCCAACTTTGAGGTGCACAACTGCCTTTGCTAGTGCCTAGGCCTCTAAAGGGTGCCACTTCCAGGCAGTCTAGCTCAGTCCTGCCTACTGAGACTATCAAAGAAATTTTCACAGTGCGCTTTCACGGTTAAGCTTTTGTTTTCTTAGAAATGGATCGATTTGGAGAAAATGTTTCAAAAGACATACTGCATCAGGAGCCGCATTTGTCTTTCCTCCTCCATGACTTCCTAACCCTGAAAAATTACCATTTACGTTTATTTACTAGCCGTTCTGGGCGCGCACCCGTCACGCCTAGCCGGGGGCTACGCCCCCTGGACCCCCGGTCACTCGCTACGCGAGTGACTGGGGGT